ACAGCCACACACATATACATGCAGGCAGGAATCTTTAATTTATCTATAACATGCCTCCCTGAATACTGGGGGGAAAAAGTCAATAATGCATTCTCTTACAAAAGCATGGGTAGTCCTTTATCCCAATCCCACTGATATGCAGCAACTCATATGGGGGTAAAAGGAGGAACACAAAGGTGGACAAAGCCTTGGTTCACTCTTATTTTTTCATAAATGGCTACAGCTTATCTACTTTCTGCCAGCCAGGCAGCTGGAAGATCTAGCCCTTTGAAGCCCAAGTATCTCGTTCCCTTTAATTCACCTCCTTGTAAAAGGAAACAACACATTTGACCTTTTATTCTTTTAACAGTTTAGCTCAGATCTCTAACAGAAAAAAAAAACCCAAACAAAAAAATAAAAAAACCAAAACAAAACAACAAAAAAGCTAAACTGTCTTTAGAATGACATAAAAGAACTGTCCAGCTCTTCACTAAGGATGAGACTCTAATGGTCTGAGGTCAGGTAAATATCACAGGAAAATAAAAGGATATTCAAAGTAGCTTTCGCCCCATGTCCAAACAGGTAAAACAGGGTGGGTATTTTGTTTAGCATTTATGGAGCCTAAACAGGCATTTGGAATTATTTCAGCAGGTTACAGATCAGCAACAATTTTTTTTTTTTAATTCGTTTTTTTCCCAATAAATATTGTAAAGGGAAAAGAAAGTCATGTGTTTGGGGACCACATCATGTGGTATGAAAACACAAAGCACATGGTTGAGAATAGTAGAAGTAAAAACCCCCAAAGAAAGCTTTTCTTCTCACTTCTTGCCTTTGCTGCACTAAACAAAACCAAGCAACCTCATGTCAAGTGAAATGAAATCATGGATCTTATTTAGGTCACAAATTTTCCCTTTTTAGTAAATGGTTAATGACTCATCTTCACCATCCTAAACTAATTTCGCCACACTATGGCATAAATACACCAAAGTCACAGTTGAAACAGTGTAAGAGAAAGGTGAGCACATCTCAGCCCAGACAATTGTAGCTTAAAGGATCTTTATTAAAGTTATAGATCAGAATGGAAGTAGAGATGAGAGGATCTGTGTCCTCTGCTTATTTATGCATCACTTGAACAATTTAACAATACTCCACATTGGCCATCCTGTACTCCCTCTGGTCCCAGGACTCCTGGTTCTCCAGGCATTCCCAGTAATTTGACTCAGTCCCAGCACTCTAAGCTGAAAAAACATCTGCTGGATCTAGAAACAATTTCAAACATTTTCTTTACACTTCACTCCCAGGACCAACATTAACTCAACAAAATGGGATGCTGGATTTATGCACAACTTTGTTTATTCAGGCCAGCAGACAGGAAGTTCAACACTGCAAAGGTATGGCTCAAAAGCCCACAGTGGGCATCCAATGCTCAGCATTCTGAATTCAAACCTCAGATCCTTTCCTAAGCACAATGAATCAGCCCCTTTTCTGCAGTGTTAGTCATTCTCCTGCCAGTCATTACCTTCCATTGTTCCACTAGACATTCTTTAAAACAGGTCAATTACTTTCTGCATAGCTTTTCATACTTTCAAGTCCATCTTTTCAATCATTGTGGGTTCAGTTTATGTTGTGTAGAGCTCTTTGCTACATTTGTACATTGCCCTGTCAGTATTACCTTCCTGTGCACACCTTTCCAGTCCTTTCAGAGCACAAACATTCTGCTTTTGATTCTATTATCTTGCTGCTTATCAGCCACATTCTCACTGGTCCCATGCAGCTGGGCTTTTCATGGGGTTCATCTAAAGTAACTTTTTTGTCACCTACAGCACATAGCACTTCAGGAATGGAACACACTAATCATATATGTAGTCACACTAGATTGTTATAATTAGGAAACATGAAGTCTTGAATATTCAAACCACAAATGCAGACAACTATTGATCATCCAGCTCTCCTCTAAGGTCATTAGGCATTTCTCCCTCCAAAAACCATCTTTAGCATCATGTGTGTCAATGTACTCCCTAAGATGACACATTCTTCCTGTATAACCAAGGTACACAAAAATAAAGGCTTTTTAGATGTTAAAACTGCAGCCTTCTAAAAATACTTCATATCAAAACTTGCAATAGGCACAAGGAAAAAAGCTACTAATTACTTACTTCCAGTTGGTTGAATTAATTACTATTCCAAAAATGCATATGCTTAGGGGAAAAAAAGTCAGCTTTTTGACAGTTTGATCTAATACCCTAATACAATATGCACCAGTGCCACATGATGAATGGAAAACTAAACCAAAATGGAAAATATACATGAGAGTAAGATTGAAAAGATAAATTATATTCTTATTTGGACATGTCCTGTTAGAAAAAATGATACCAAAATGCTGCTTCCTAAAGTTAGCTGAATTCTGTGTACACAGGCAGTGATGAAGTGTTACATAAAGATTCCAGCAAGGTTTTCTCCATAGAAAGCCTGAAGTACTTTTTCTCTACCTGTTGAAAGCATTGTCCAGTGCAAGAAAAGAGAAAAGACTACTAAAAGTACTTTAAGTATCTCCCTGGATAAAGCACATTCTCTTTCCAAGTTCACTGAACATGGATTTTAAATAAATCTGGTAAGTGAAAAGAGGAAAGCATTGAAACAACCACATAAATACCTTCTTTAGAGACACATACAAGTTTTGACACAAAATAAATGGAAAAGGGAGGGAAAAACCTTTTCTCTGATTCTGAGCAAGGACAAGTGTGACCCAGTCACACTGACTCAGAGCTATGAGTCAGCTGCAGTTTGGTAACTTGCCATTAAAGAATTTCCCTCAAATAAGGTGACAAAAGGCTTTGATAAAAGGCTAGGATATTTCTATATATACAGCCTAAAGGAGAGGGACATCTCTCTTCTCTCAGAAACCAGGCATGTCTTTCCACACAGACAAGTATTTTCTACATTTGATCTTTGGCCCTTGGTGCTCATCTCTAGGAACTATTTAGCCATTGCTTTCTCCATTGTCTTCACATTTATCTTGCTATCAGGGAGGAGGAGGGCTAAGGTTTCCAGCACACTTTCATCACCTTCCATGGTTTGTGTCCTGCCTGTCCTATCTCTTTTGTTTTTGTCTTAGTGTGGCATGTCACATGCAGACACTGAAGCAACCAACAGAACAGCTGCACTCCTGAGCTTGTCCATATCTGGGCTTTTGTCTACACATCAATACTCATTGCTATCACTGCTATGTCACTGGAGATCTCCAGTGGTCTTCTGCTGTTTCCAACAACTCTTGAACTCCTAACCCAACAGCATGTTATAAGAAAGGATAAAATATGTTTCAGAGTTGAAAAAATCAACACCTACATATTTCAAGCTGACAAGAGCAAGACTAATCTCACACAGCTGTGACCTAGTTTTACAGGTTGCTTTTACAATCAGTAGAAAGAAGTGGACTTATCTAAGATACAGCTCACTGAATGTCTCTCCTAGGCACAAGACAGATCTCTTGGATGTCTGCCATACAGCAAGATAACTGCATCCTACAAGAGCCCATCTTTCTCTATCAACCGGCAAGAGAGCCCATACAACAAGTTTAGAAGCCACTGTCTAGATGTCTTCATTTATGTTGGGATTTCCAGAGCTCCTCTGCTTGTGGAGAACACCTCCATGTGAAGAACACAGCTAAATATATAATTAGGGGCAACCTCAGTGGTCTGCAGCTTAGGATAACCTTGTCATAAAACAGGGAACAAGACTCCCATGACAGCCTCCTCCAGATCTCTTTTGCTTTATTCTGAAGCCTGTGTCAGTGGTCAGTGATGAAGACAAAATATTGTCCAGTGTGAAAATTGGGTCTGATCCAGTCTGCCTAGCCCAACACTAAATCCAAACAAATGTAACAAAAAAAGAATAAACACTTTGCTCTCAGATACTTTCCAAGGAGAGAGACAGATAAATCTCAGAAAGGCTGATTCAGTCTCATTGAATTTCATTTGGAATTTATCATTTATTCCAATATTACCACCATGCAAATTCCTACAAAAGCTGAATGTTTGTTTGATTCATTAGCTCATAGTTTACATTCACCTTTCATGGGCTGGGTTGGGCTGAGTATGCAGAAATCAAATGCTGGCAGACTGCAGATTACAAGGATTTATTGTATGCCTTTCAGGAAGAATCCAGACATAACTATCCCCAGGAAAATACTCACAAAGCATGTATTCCTCTTAAACACAGAAGCCAGTGGGTGCTAACAGGCTGCTCGAGTTATCTATTTGTCAGTACACAATAGCTGATTAAAAAGCTTTTTATTGATTTCCTGGGTGAAAATCTGTGATTACCTTCATAGCTACCACTATTATATGTAACAGCAAGATAGCTCTGTGGGGTAAAAACAGATTTTGCTTTTGGGTTAAAGCAGTACCTAGTTCTAGTTAGGTTTACTTGGAAATCAATTACACCTTATTAGGAAGTTCTAATGTTTTGACATTTATTTTCAACAGATTTTTAAAACCTGAATTTAATTTTATTTTTTTTTAGAGTTAATGAAGAAAAAAAAAAATCTCAACAAATGACAAGAGCCATGTGCTTACCTGTGACTATATACAGAATCACCTCCCTGCACAAAGCAGGTAAGAGGACAAGCAATTCCCACAGCACATGCATTTGCTCTTATTTTTTTAATATGTTCTATCCTGTGCTTCAGAAATCTTAAACTTTCATAGAATTCAGTATGCTGGAACAAAATATATTAAAGCAAACAACTTTTTCCAGCCTATTTATTTGGCTTTTTTGGGTGAACTTTAAGTACATTTTTTAAATTTGCAGAATATAATTTTTATCAGATGGAAGAAGCCAAAAAAGGAAAAGACAGCCAGATGAAATCTAAAGAAGGTAGGAACTAGATAGAAATTGTCACACAGAAAGAAAATCACAAGACTGTTGGGAGAAGCAAATAAAGACAGACAAATGGGTGCTAGGGGCAGTAGTTGAAGAACACAGACCACTTCAGAGAGAGCTGTTTATTATGACATTTTGTGTTCGGATTGATAATTGGCTAAGTTATATTAACAATTATCCTGTCCTTGTTTTGGGTGGTGCTGAAATCTGAAGTCACATTTCTCCTTTCTTCCAGATATACTGTAACAATCTGAAATTACAGATATTTAAAACATATTAGAGGAAAGAAAGAAATCTTGGCATCAATTGTTTTCACTCTCAGCACATTTCTAGCAGACTCCGAAATGTCACAGGATTTCATACGCTGCCTCTCATTATTTCAGTCCTAGAAATGGTGGTTGCATCATCTTGCAACACTGTTTCTGAAATTTGATAACACAACACACAGAAGCTGTAATCTAAGGGAGTTTACAATGAAAATATCACAGAGAGAAATCTTAATTAAAAACTTGCCCCATTGTAAACCAATGAACATCAGAAAATGTTTAAAAAATGAATGATTGTCCTAAAAACACATCCACATGAATTATATACCTAATCCTCCAGATTCTTCTGTGCCTGCAGTTTGCTGTATTTTTTATTACTGTTTCCTTATACTCTCTCTAATTGCCTGCTGAAAAACACTCTGGAAATAAAAGCAGTGTGATTCACCTTTACCCATAAGAGTTGAACCTTATGGTTTGAAGTGAAAATGATAAACAAGAATCAATGATTAGCCAGAAATACAATTTATTACACTGGTCACAGAAAAGCTGGAGGTTTTTTTCCTAAAATTGTGTTGTTTGTATCCATGAACCTATTAGTAAGTTCTTCTGCAGACTGCAATCTCCTCCTCAGACTCCTGTCACTAAAGCATCCCTGACAATACCCAAGAATCTGTTAAGATCTCTAGACCTCATCCCCTCCTTATCTTCATCTCCTCCCCACATCCTAAGCTGGAAAATAAACCCAGTTTGCTCTGGCTTGCCTTGAGTTTTTGCATTTTGACTTGTGTATTGGCCACTCCACTGAGCAAACTAGGCAAGAATCTCTAAGGGTTGACCTGCCTGTACCCTTCTCTCTGTAGGTGCCCCTTATCTTCGAAGCACCTGATTGTCAGAAAACTTGTAGGAAGTTACTCTCTTGTAGATCTGCACTATCTTACTGAAATTGGCTGATAAGTCTAAAAGTTATCAGAGGGCTCAGGGAATTTCCAGCCCTACAGTTTGGTCATAAAGATCTTCTTCCCCGTTGCAATCATACTCCAAAACACACAAATAACTTCAATTATTTCAATATATTCAGCTTGTGGAATTTTCAAAGAGGGAAAGGAAAACCTTTACATTAACAGAGTTTAATCTTAACTTCTTCTCAGCTCAGACCAGTAACTCTAGCACAGTAATAGCTATGGTGATGATCTTGAACAGGAAGAGCAGGGTTCTCTGTACACACTGATGTGTGCCCTTACACAGAGCAGTAATTGATGGGGGACACAAATTGATAAAGCACTTGATAAAGGCACATAGAGTCCTTCATGCCAACATTATGGAGACTAAGGAAGAAATCAGAGTGTCTGCAAGATGATTGGACATAAAAGCAAACTGTAAAGTTAAACTGGAAATAGTGGAACACTGTCTACCGTCAAATACAGCATGAGCTGACTGTGTATTACCAGCCTGCACATTTATTTGTGATTCCCAGCATCACCTACAATCCCCCTTTCCAGCCCACTGTCGGTTGGTGGGGATGCTGCTTTCCTTCTAGTTCAGTCCTGTGTGGCTTGTAGGACTCCAGGCTGATTTCTGCTGGGTCTTGAATCTTGCAATACACCCTTAGATAAATTAAAGGGTTAATACCTTATAGACCAACACTCCCAACCATTCTTTTCATGCCATTATGACTAATAGGAGAAGGACACAGGATTATTCAGAACACAGCTAATAAGTCTGAAAATGTGAAGTGTTAACCAGAAAGAAAAGCAAAATGTGAGGAAATGTGAACTTTAAAATGAAACTTAATTGATCTCAAGAAGCATGTCTGAAGAAGTTAGACAGGAAAGGCATATTAACAATCCAAGAGATGGAGACAGTCCCTTTTTGTTCTCACTCAGGCTCTTTTCCTTTCAACTTTTTCTGTTTATCTACTCTATTAAAATCTCTTACTCCCAGACTGTTGTTCAGAAATCTCATTAATCGAGATGTAGGAACATAACAATGAAGAGAGCAAATAGATTTTGATGCATAGATGTTTAAAGCTGCAAGAGATTGTTCACACTATTTATTTTGATGTCTCATATAACAGAATCATTCGTCTGGATTTCATGCAGTAATTCCACAGTGGAAGAAAGAGAAAAATCTTATGCATAAATAAAGTGTTCTGAGATTTCATATTCACACATACACACACAGATATACAAACTCAGAAATTAGCTATCCAGAATATTTAAAGTAATTCAAACATCCAGAAAGAAGAAGAAGAAAAAAAAAAACAGTGAAGAATTGCCAGAAAATGCTGCCAGTTTCTCTTTATGCATCATATGCCTCCAGCCCTCCAGCTAGGGGGAGGGGTGTTTCAGTGAAAATGATCTTATTACCTATAGATAGGAATGTTTGTCACACTCATGTTTTCTGTGAGCTCAGCCTGTTCACTGTGAAAGTTAATTGAAACAACACAACACCAAGCAAAAACAAAACTAGAGAAGATTGTCCTATTCCAATTTCTGAAATTTCCTTCTCATAATTCTAGCTCCAACATGGATGCCTGCCCATGCAAATATAGGATATTTTTTGTTTCATTAAGAGCTGTAAAATTATCTCATAGACAAAAAGAAAGACTACAAGAAGGAAAAAAAATCAAGTGAATCTCTAAACATGCTTCAAACAAACATGGACACTGGGCACCTCTCAGGCACCTTGGCAATGAAATGAATGGTAGTTACAACAGAACTAATACCTGCCTTCAAGGCAGACCTAAGGCAGGAAAACACCCAGACATCTTCACAAGTTTTTGTCAAAGTACATTATCAAAATAGGAGTGAGAGAAAAGACACAGTGGTACAGAGATGGAAGAACTTGTTTAGAAGAACATGAGAGACCAGGGAGGTCTCATGCATTGGATCCTTTCAGCAACTGAAAACCCTCACTCTGCTGAAGTCTGTCCTGTTCTTCCTGTGAGACTCCTACAGGACTGTTCCTCCTGGGAAGAGTTTAAATTGGGCTGAGACATCTTTCCACATCTCAGAAGAAAGGAGGGTTAATTCCAGACCTCCTCCCCTGGGAGATAACTAGGTAATACTCCCCACATCACAGTGAAATTTGGCCTGGAGGCCTGATTTACCAGTAAGAATTTTGGTCTCCTCCTTTCATTTCAGTAAACTATTTTTACATGGCTTGTCTTGCACAGAGAAGGAGGGGACATTTTCTGTGAACTGTGCTGCTGAAGCTGAGTTCATAAATATCAAAGAAGAAAGAAATGCAGATGAATGGCAGCAGCAGTGAAAACGCTGAAGCAAGGAAGAGAAACAGGATAAGAAGGAGAAATGCTTGGGAGGATCATTTAAAAGCTGCAAAACAAAGTATTTGTTTTGCAGCAATGGAAACATCTGAAATGAGAAACCAATTTGCAGGCTATTTGGCCTCAAAGCTCCAGCATGATCAAACAAATATGCCTGGAGAAAAAAATAGATCAGGATCTTTTCATGTTGTTAAGACGCTGTTTTCTTAGTTTCCCTCCTCGCTGCAGAATTAGCTGAGGAACTTAGGAAATTTTAAAATTTCCTTCGAGGGTTTATATGGTAACCCCACAACAAGACTGCTCAGTCTCAAACTCATGGGTCACTTTTCTCCCAATTACCCAGCACTCCTGCAGGTTGAAAATTGCCAGTATGAAACAAAACAGCTCTCTTGCAACATTTTACCTTGGGTACACATCTGAGGGGCTCCCTCTCCATCACTGCTTTCCTTTCTCCACTTTACAACACCCTCTATTGCTTTCAGCACAGCAACAAACTCGAGTCACTTCTGGAATGGGGAAGGTGACCACTCTCCAAGCAGGCAGTGGAATTCATTACAGTCAGGAGTGCATTTATTTTACAAGTGGAGGATACAGGCAGCAGGAAAGGGCCCAAAGTTTCCTGAGAGTACTCTGATGGAAATAACCACAACCTCACTGGAAGTGTTACAGATTGTTGTTGAACATCAGAGCACCGTCAGAAGTAAGCAATATTTGAGAAGTTTAAGTGTCCTAAGACTTAAAACAATGTCTCTTTTTGTGTTTCCAGCCATACAACAGTGAAGGTGTCTCAGTTATCACTGCATCCGTTCCACCAAGGTAACTGCAGTTTCACCAGCAGCTGCCACTGCTTTCCCTGCTGACAACTATTCTGAGTCAACAGTGATTCCACAGTCTATTTACAGGACCTTGGGATCAGTTGGATTTTTGGAGGGGTTTGTAAAGACTTTTGCACTTTTTGAAGTATTTCTGGAAACTGATCCTGATAACTAATCTTCGTTATCTTACACTGAGTGAAAGGCTTGGGCACCCACCTCTTGTTTCATAAGCTTGCTGATGTTCAGTTTCCAGCAGCATTCCCGTTCCTAGGACCTTCTTTGACCCAGCCCTAACAGTGAAACAATCTGGATTTTAGTGAACCCAGGAGGACATCAGAGGTAATGTGATCCAGGCAAAACAGTCTATTTCCAATTCCTTCAGCTTCATATATTCTCTGAACTTCATATAATTTCTGAACTTCAGTTGCATTATGGTATTACCTTAATGACACAAAGTATCCTTGAATAAAATGTTCTGTAGACCTACAGACATAGGATCAGATATTGCAAGAGGATAAGATGACGACTTAAAGCTGGTTTTCAAAGGGAAAGTAGTTTCAGAAGAATTGAAGGTTTCAGAGTTTCTTAAAACAGGAAAGACTTTAAAGCATTCTATGTTAATGTGACAGAACAGTATTGTGCTTGTGATCTATTAAACCTGAAAAAGTGCACCCTAATAAAACCTGAAATAATAGGATGAAAAAATATGGAAAACAGACACAAATAGTATCTTAAAACTGCATGCTAAGCTAGAGCAACACACACGTGGATATCATTTTATTAGGACAAGAGGCATGCATGATATCGGCTCAAATACAAAATATCATGTTACTTCAATATACTCTGAGAACAGTTTGAAGTAAAATCAATTCAAATTGCCCTGACTACACGCATCATTCTTTTGGCAATAAATAACTTTTTTGGTCTGTATTGTTACTACAAAGCATTGCTAAAAAATAAAGGCACTTTTGTTTGGGTTGGTTTTTGGTTTTGTTTTTTGGGGTTTTTTGCACTGTGCCAAAAGACCCTGCTTTGCATAGGGAAAAGAAAAAAATTTTTTAAATAATTTTATAATCAGCTAGTGCTCTGAACAACAAACTCAGACTAACCTGATCTAGCAGGTAAGCTAAAAGTTTTATGGATCATAATAAAGTCAGCTTGTGTTTTTTAAAAGTGCAGCTCCACTGCAGTTTGATTCTGACCTCCAGCATAATCTAAGTGCTTTGTGAGGAAATATTTCATTTCATTTGCTTGAAATTTATCCATGATTATCTTCATGTGACCTCATGTCCTTTAATTATGAAAGACTGTAAAAATCTGGGACTGGTTGGGTTTCTTTATATATTCAGTGTTCAAATTAAAGCTAGGTTAGACTGTTTCTCATGCTAAGAAATCCTAAATTTTGCAAAATGTCAGGATGAAGTTTATTTTCCATACATCAACATGCCAAATTTCCCCAAATCCAGCTTGTTTACATGATAAGAATAAATGCTAGACTGCAATATCATGTAAACACTTATTTGATTTTAAGATTCTCTTCCTTGGAAGCATCATTTGAATTACACTCATACTGATTTCAACAAGATTGATCTTACTTTATATGATGGAATAAAGTAAGGGTTTACAAATACCTCCTTTTGGGAGAAGGCCTTACTGAATGAGACATTGGAAAGTGAAAAATCTGAGAGCTCCCCAGTCCCAGAAGCAGGAGGTTCATAGGAAATCACACACCTGCGTTAAATACATCTGGATGGGACTTGCTGAAATCTTTGGGAAATGAATGCACTGCAGGTTCTTGCTGGCATGTCAACTCTCAATCTCAGGTCAGCCACTCTTAGAAATACCTGCTATAGTCTTGATAAATCTTATCCGTGCCAAAAGCAGACTAAATTGACTACCCCCCTTTTGAAGTTTAATTTTTTTAGGAAAAATCTAAGCAAAAGGGTATTGCCTTCAAGGCAAAGGTGATTTTGGACCCTATTTAGGGTTGGCATAGTTCCAAAAGAACAATTTAGCTAGTAACTTTTACTAGTCACAATTTCACTCTCGCATTGGATGCGCTTAAATCAAACTGGCAACATATCAAAGTCAAAACACAACAAAGTTGGAGATTAAAAAAAACACTAAAAACACCCCATAAACAAACAACTACGTTATATACCTATCAAAAACAAACAGAAAAGGTACTCAGTGTAGAGTCTGATAAGTAAAATTTACCACAAAAAATACCAATATAGCACTCAATCCCTTCACGTTGTCATATTATAATTGCCTGTTCTGTTCTATGTAACTGTTCTTATGATTCTATTCAAGGTTTCAGGCAAGAGGTGCATGACTGAAGAAATATACTTCAGAAATAACATCTGCTTGACACTTTCTTGAAGTTCCTCAAATTATCATTTTCAGTATTTCTGTAATAGAATAACTGAAGGAGATGGGGAAAAAGAATAGGGCAAAGAACAACACTGAGGCAGGGAAAACCATTTATCCAATTATATGGTCATTTCCCCAGGGTGTTGACACATTATGTACCAAGATTTATCTGATTTTATATTGTTATCCCAGACAAGCTGCAGCCACTGTGGAGCCTACCATTATGTTCCTTTTGCTGTTTTCTGCTCTTAGCCAAATTTTCTGAAGCTTACTCAGATGGAACATTCTTATGCCTTCCACCTACCTTCTGTGACACCCAATTAAAGTGCAGTTGAGTGGAAAGAGCCCAAGACAATTCCATTATGCAGCAGGATGAGAGGGAAACATCAGGTCCTGTGCAAAATGGGTTGCTACTTAACGACACATTGAAAGACTTTTACAGAAATATAGTTGTTCGACTAAAAATGTGCTGCTTATTCAAGGCTAAAAATGATTAAGGATTTCTGAGTCCATTGACAGAAATTTGCTGTATATATGCAGAAACATTTATTAAGGATTTTACTCAGTTATGGAGGCTGAGGTTGTTGCCTTCCAATCATAAGTTCAATATTAGTAAGGTTTTTTTTTTTCCATCTGAACTACAGATATCAGTTCTGAACACCAACATTTTTAAAGCAACCTAGAGATGGCTTCAAGCTATGCTGGTTGACAAGAAAAACATAACCCAGGTGGGAGAGAAAGGCATCAGAAAACTCAACATTCTAGTCAGTCGCAACTTCCTAATACCCATTTAGAGGGCCCCTAGGTATGTCAGAGATATCATGTGTATGTGAAGGAAAATGGCTCAGACTAAAACCACACCCTGACACACACTACCATGTTACAAAATCCATCCTCTTGGAAAGAAGGGATTTGAGGCAGAGAGCAGAGTCTTTTTTGCCTTGTGGAATTTGGTTCATCTGGCTGTATCTACATAGAACTGTGGACAGAAAAAGGAGCTGGGCTAAAGATGGATCCCATTTATAATTATCTACAATCTTGAAGCCTTAAAGATGATAGTTTTAGGGGATTTTTGTTTCTCTAAGAAAACCACTAACAATTAATATTTTTACTATTTGACAATCTCTGGAAGTATACTAAAAATACTTATCAATAGTGTTTAGTGAAAAGTAAGCTTAATAATTTGATTATATGCCAAGAGATAGATGGACACATTTAGGGACAAAACCATTAAGGAGACAAAATTATCAAATCAGCCCAGGTATCAACCTAATTATTCTAGATTATTAAGCAAATATCTTTGTCATTCAATAGCATGGACTCTGTAATTTCAGAGGCAAAAACACTTCTAGTGCATTTGTTTTAATGGACGTTTAAGGGCTGCTGATGAGCAGTTTGGCTTGCCAGGGGAAAGCAAGAAGTCTATTGAACTCTCTTAATTCCACAGCTATAGCATCCATGGGGCAGGGCTTTGCAGGGAGCATGGAAACATGAGTTTTCATGGATGGGAAGTGGTGGCCTTAAGGGGCTGTAAACAGAAATGTTTTCACCTGCTCTCAGTTTAAATACCACCCTGCTTAGTCTGTAGTGTTCATGTATTTCAGAAATAATCTGTCTTACTTTCTCCAAGTTTCTGATGACCATGACCTGTGGAGTCAGAGCCAAGCCAAGCTTGTGTATTTGTATTTATATCACTCCAAGTGTCTACAATCATGCGGTAAAAAAAAAACCACAGAAAAAAACCCCAAGTCTTAAATTGAGGGGGAAAAAAACCGATGGTAAAAAAATCCAAAAAAAAAAAAACCCACAAAAAAGCCATCTCAAAAGACTCTAAAGCCAAATCAAAACAAAGAAAAAACTCCACACCAAAACCAAACAGGAGCAATTTTTTCAACTCCTATGAAGGCTCAACTCTGATTTTGAAGGCCTGCTAAGAAATAATTTTGAGCATATTTCTCAAGGACCAGCCCAGAGAGGAGACGTTTTAACAAAATCTATTAGTGAACAATAATTCATGCTATCTATCATATTGTGCCATTCATTCATGCATGATCTAACAAGATGACATTTAATACAAAATAAGAATGATGAAGGTCACTGGAATTTGCACAATTTATTATTGGTGTCAAGCCAGATTAGTTTAGCCAGTGCTTGACTAAAATTTGCCTAGGATGACTCTCTCTGAGTAAAAGGTTATTATTTGGTGGATATTTCCCTCTCATACTTGGTTTTACACTGTGAGGGCAGAACTGACTGTGGAGAGTTCTCTGAATCTCACTGGAAGAGGTTTATTCACATCTCATGTCATGATTCTGTCCCTGCTTTCACCGACTCTTCCAGATGCCTACAGTCACTCTTCTCAATAATCCACCTAAGAACTCTGAGAAAATGCAGGACCAATGCAATCCTGTTGGGAATCTGACAGAGAAACACCCTTGGGAGACAAGGAGCGGTAAAAGAACACATGGTGTGTATGAGCACTGCCTTTTTTAATCATACCTTTGAGAGCTGGCCTAAATAATCATCTGCAGGAATGAATGGCCCCTTTAAACACAAGTCAAAACCGATCCTGCTTAATTAACCCATCTGATAGTTTTGGGATTTACTTTTGATGACACCAAACCATTTCAGTTCTTTGGTCAAGACAAGTATGAATTTGTATCAAATCCTAGTCTTTGTTGAAATATAACCCACTAACAGGAGTATAAATGCAGAAGTTGCTCAGTACTTTTTGGAAATCCAGTCAAAGTTTATTCTCTCAAAGATTCTTGACACAGTTTTGGTTTTTTGGGGGTTTTTTTAATCTCTTTTTGAAATACCACATTGGCGCTCCTGAGAATGATTCAGACACTGCTCTTGTCCATTTTTAATGAAGTCATCAGAGTTACATCAGGGTTAATTAAACCCAAGAGGCACC